AGAATTTAAATTTGTCCACAGACTAAAATATGTTTGATTGTTAACTTTTAATATATTTCAAAGTTTTGTGGCTGAACCGGGATGGGCTCATTTCTGTTGAAAAACTTTAACAGCATCTAAATATTGTACAGCCTTCTGCAGTCAGCGCTCTGTATTTGAGTGATTTCTATTTGGATTATATTGCTTTTTCAACTCACTTTATGGAACCGATAATTAAACAGATTCAAAGTCAATACCTTGCTCTCTATTTTTGGCTTTATTAAAACAAAGCAGTCCAGTTCAGTTGCATATTTCTGGTAAAGATTGAAGTTTTCGAGCTGAGGGAACCCAGCAAATTACATAAGGTCACTGAATGCAGCAATCTCTCCTCCTCATCATAGAAAAAAGTGAAAACATTAAGCAATGAACTTTGCAGCAATCCCCCATATATTAAACGATTTAGGTGGTGCAGACATCCTGACCAGTCTATTTCCGGTCAGAGCCGATTCTCTATTGTAAGAAACTGCATGGCATTCAGATTCTGTCATATTTTTTTTTTTTTAACACTGAAAAAAATCACAACATGAGGGAAGATGTTCATTTCTGGGTTTGACCTGCCAACAAAGGAAAATCTGGTTTTGGGTGCTTCCGTAATTGGTCAGATCAGCCACCATAAAACATGGTCAAACTATTTTTAAAACAAAAAGTTCATTGTAAGCAATTCATAGTCTGATAGAGATAAACATCAGCTACTTTATTTATTTCCTCGTGGAGTTGATCTTCGTTTTATCTCCTAAAAGCTCAAAAGGATCAAACAGAAAACCTCAATCAATCATCTGCTGCTGAAAATCCCTTTTGGTTTTGAGTCGTGGCAGCTTGACACGCCTCGGTGAAAATACGCCTCCTCAGGCTGTGATACTTCACACATTACAGTATTATATGAGTATTGTAGGAAAACTTAAAATCAAGGTTTGGAAGTTTTTGGGATTCTCTTAGTAATATCTGAGTCTGCTTTAAAACCTTCACCTTTCTCTGTTGGCTTGGCAACGGTAACTTAAAACCTTAAAAATGGAAAAAACCTGTAGCGAAAATGTTTTTGCTCACCAGAGCTCACTTTCTGACATGTTCAGCTCTTCTGTCCCTGTCGTTTTCATTCTGGGTTAGTGGGCAGATGGTTCAACGTCCTGCTAGGCTAACCATCAGCTTATGTATGGACAACGGTGAGTTCAGTGGAAAGCTAACTGCCATGTTTCCTTTGTTCTGTTCTTCAGGAGTTTGCAGGGGAGGACACGTCAGATCTGTTCCTGGAGGAGAGGGAAGCATCCCTCCGTCAGGCTCAGGAGGAGAAACATAAGATCCAGATGTCTGTGCCAGGCATCTTGAACCCTCATGAAATCCCAGAGGAGATGTGTGACTGAACCTCCGCTCCAGCAAACATGTACAGTATCCCAAAAACAAACCAACCCCTAATCACAACAAAACCTAAGAGAAGCACTTGGTGGAGTATGGTGGGAGGTAGCTCCGCCCACCCTCTGCAGAGCGGGCTGTCCCTTTGGATGTTTGTTGACCAAAATAATGCCAATATCATCATGTAAATGATTAGCGTGTCACTTTGTGGCCCTTTTTACATACTGTGCGTTTTGTATGGAGACCTTTTTGTGTATTTCCTTTCCAGCGGTAATGTTTCGGTGGTCTTTGGTCCATCCCAGACCTGCATGATAAACAAAGTTTAACCATCTTGATTTCTGTTCACATACTTATGTTTCCCAGTTCTTCCCTTTCTGAAATGTGTTTATATGTAAATATCTTTAAACAGTCTGAGCGAAGTGTTTGTCAGGTCAACAGAGGCTTCATTCGATTGGGGGGGGTGTTTGTGCCACAAACGCTCCTATTCTGTTAGTGTCCCATGATTCTGTGGGGGAATGTGAATCTACCGGAAAACGAATGAAGGCTGAGAGATGCTGCTTTATGCTTCTGCATCTGTTGCTCACAAGTTAACAGTTCATCTGAAAACTAACCTGCTGTCAGCAGGAGGGTTTTTTTTTTTTTTTTTTTTTAGGAAAAACACAACCGGATATGTGCATATCATCCCGATTGTATAGCATCCTGATACTATGGGAACACTTTTTGTTATTCTTATATTCTGTCGTTTGTTTTGTCCTGGATGTGTGCGTGTGAGTGCTGTCGCTCAGTCGACATCAGCGTTTTGTTTTCCTCTAAGAGGATTGTTGCTCATGTGCGAGCCTTCATCACTGGGATGTTTTCCGGACGAGGCGGGCGTATTTATGGGTTTCTGGTTGGTTGCATCTTTATAATGACTCCTGTTGAACTCGGATGGATTTCACCATTTTGAACTCTACTAATTTAGGTTGTTTACCATTTAGTTATGTGTCAGGACACTACCTGATAGAGCAAATTTAAGAAAATAAATATGGGTTTACATTTAATTTTGTATTTTTTTTTTTTTTTTTGCATTTCATTTGTATCTGTTTTAAGTTCTGTTTAAATAAACAAATAGGCTTTTTGTCCTGGTAGAACTTTATTTGCCAACGAGTTTAATTAAGAAAGAATGTATAAATCCGATTAAGTACCCGATCTCTAATGGCTAATTTCCCTTCTCAAGGTGTTACTTTGTTGTGAACTTTTTGAACTGATTAAAGTTGAGAATTTTATAACCACACCTTGGACCAGGTGTCTTTTTCCTTGTTCCTCTGTTTTTTTTATCTACTTACTGTCTATCCATTCTATCTGTCCTTTTCCTCCTTCATCCCTATGCTTGTCCCATAATTTATTTTTTGTTCATCCTCTGTCCTGACAATCAATAACCAACAACCATCTATCTTCCAGTTATCATCTATCACAGGGTTTATACAGGAATGATTAACTCTTAGAAATAATTTTAATGCCATCAACAAATACCCATGACTCTCATATATATACATGGCAAATTCCTTCATCTTTTCCGTCGGCACGCTGCAATTCCTCAATTTCCAGCCACTTTTGTTATAATTAGCACTTTCCCCATTCTCTAGCCTTTTCTCTGCAGCAAGCTTCTTTTCCAAACATACGGCTTTACGATCAACCGGAAGCAGTTCCACGCAAATATATTGCGATATATTTGCAAATATATATATTGTTTTTTATAAACTTTTTTTTTTTTAATAAGGCATTTTAAATGCCAAAATCATTGCATTTAATGACTTTTAATGCCAAATCAGGCTTTAATTTCATAAATAATTATTTAATGACCCGCGGAAACCCTGTATCAGCCATCTGTTTTACCTTCCATCTATTGTGGCTTTGGACCATCCAAACTTTCTTCACATAGTATTTAATCCAATATTCATCTGTTATTCCATTATTTATTATTGGACCCAAATTGCACATTAAGTTGTGGAAAAGTTAGGAATTCTGACAAGAAATGAGAGTAGAAACCCTGACTCCATAAAGGTTCGTAAAGTGAGCTAAAGGACCTCAGCCTCTCACAGTGATGCAAAAATAAGCATGAGATGATGGATGTCCCCCTTCGTACGCACACCGCGACATCCGACCATTTCCGCTTGGTCTCATTTGGCCCAGGTTGCTGCTGTGTAAACTAATCCTGCCTCTAATCCCTGTTAACATACTGGTATTACATCAAAGCCTATGGTGACACTCCATGCCTGAAAGGCAAAACTTTCATCTTGACTGAACCCTGTCAACCTTTCATCTGTGATGCAACTAGACACAGCTGCTGGACGATGGGGTGGGAAGAAAAATTTTCTGCTCACAAAGAAATAAACAGTCTCTTATTTTTGTTGTTAGTTTTATTTACACTTAAAGAGGAGGTGTCCATTTAAACCTCAGTGTGCAGCAACAGGTGGGAACAGGGCGGGGCTAATTTACTCTGCTACAAGCTCCCCAATTCTCAGTCTCTTCCACATCTTTAAGTTATTTAAATCCTCTAAACATTTACAGACCTTAATACCAGTACCCTATGTGCCAAATAAAGACAAATGTTGATCAACAAGGTAACAGAGGCATCTTAAATTGGCCTCAGCACATCAAAATCAGCGTTGGCGGACTCCAGTCCTTAAAAATGGTGCCTGTTTTAGATGTCCTGTTGGTTCAAAACACCAGAATCAAATTGTTAAATTATATGGTCTCTGTAAGGAGGTCATGAAGCCACTAATTTAGCAGCATCGGAACAGGGACACGTTTTTTAACAGGCAGGAAGTGAATACTGCTGCTCTTAATGGTTAAGAGAAGCATAGCTGTCCACTAAAACCAAAATTTTAGAATTTTATGTCTTTTTTTTATGAAGACATAAAAAGTAAGTCTAGTGTGTTTTTAATAATTTACAAATATATATAAAAACAGGACATTAAACCTCTCTTGACCAGAACCATGATTAGACCTATAAACCTGCTGGTTTGTTTTAGGGATTTTATTTTGGTTCTCCTCTTGCTCATGTTTCCGGTTGACGTGCTTACATCTGGGCCTCTCTGTGGGACCCTAAATCAGACCTCCTGTAACCGGACCTCCTGACCCACATCCACAGATCCCCAGCCATTCTCGGCATCCGCTGTCGAGGTTGAAGAAGAGACAGCTGGGACGGCCTCCACCCACCCCCCCTCTGTGGGGTTGGGGAGTAAAACCCTGCCCACTCTGCTTGTTCATGTCCCCTTATGCCCTGGTGTGTAGCAGAGATATTAATACCCCTGTGAGCAATCCTAATAGAAAGAACTGGGTATGAACACCCGCCAACAGAAACTGCTGGCCTGAACCTCCACCCAGTGTAGCAAACCAGCTTTGACCCAAACAAGAACCCGTTTCCAGCGGATCGGACCTGTCTTAAAAGCATCCCCACTAAGAGGTGAAACCTTTGGCCGAATGGTTGGCAGCACCTGGACCAGTGTTTGGACTGAGGGGACGTGTTCTGTCTGGGCAAAACTAGGACAAAGTTGATCACTCACAACCCAGTAACCCCTGCCAGGGTTATACTGCCACCTATAGGACAAAAGGAAACTTTCTGAATGTGGCTCATTTGTATTGTTTTATGCATGTGTTTTTAATTCAGAACAGTTAGTGGTATAAGCATTTACATCTTGACCAGAACTGGGAGAAAATACAAATAAAGAATCTGTCTCATCACATCCGATGTCCGTTAAAATAATAAAGCTTCAGCAGAACTGATCACAAGCAGGAACTGTTCAGTCCTAAAAAAAATCACAATTGAGGTCCAGCAGCAGTTTTTCTGATGTTTAGGAGGTCCTGGATTATGCAAGAAGAACCGAGCGGAACCCAGGGGTTTGCCCTTGTTTGTGGAGAAACGGCCACAGCTGCACAAACATGCAGCCAGCTGAGCAACAGAGAGGACAGTTGATGGAGCTCCACATCTACACAGACTGGAGGGAGGATGGAGTCCAAACCAGGCTGGGAGAATAAGCGTCTATCCTTCCTCTATCACGGCTCCTCATCTATCCAACAGCTCGGAGCTTCTTTACCGCTTCAGAACCTCTACGTATTTCGGATCTGGGCGTAACGCATCTTGGATCTGTAAAGCCACACAGATGTTTAGATATAAAATATTAAAAACAACCTCTGGAAGAATATAAACACAGCTAGAGAATTATGCTTACATTAATTAATTCCTTCTTTACCTATTAAATAATTTTTTGTTAGAGTGCTTTCTAAAATAACTGAAGATTAGACAACAAACAACCACAATATTTTTACAAGCAAAGATTTAGAGAGAAAATCTGAACTCATAGGATTTTCACGATTCAATGCAGATAGGAAATCATCCATCACGGTTCAAATTAGCTCTACATAAGTACAAGTTATTTAAATGCACCTTTGAGGTTTTACCATAAATATCCAGCGACCCCAAACTGACGGGGAGAAACATTTTTGATGATGAGACAGATTATGGAGCAATTGGAGGATTAAGAGCGAGGCTTTCAAACCCAAAGACACCAGATGAATTGTCAAGCACGGCGAGGGCAGCACCATGCTTGCTGTGCTGCCAGTACTAAAGAACTCAGGTTGTTCTTTTCGCAATATGCACCTGCACCACTGACAGCTATAGAGCCCGCAGCATGGTGCACCCACTGCCAAGCTTGACATTTACAGCATTTCAAGTCTAATTTTTATGGTAATTTTTTTACCCTGAATAATAAGACAAAATGTAGTAATTCAAACTGATTCGACCAGTTTTTGTTCTTAAAAATCTTGGTTTGCTGTGTAGTTTCCTAATTTAGAGGGGGAAAAAAAGCCAAAAATGAAAGTTTGGGATGACAATGATGTCGAAATAAAGTTGCGGTTCTTATAAAACGTACCTGGGAGCTTTCTCTGGCGTGGGCCTAGTCTGAGTGCCGCCTTTAAACTGCGCTTCCAGCTTGGCGTAGATCCCTCCTGAAGGCTGAACCAGCAGAAACAGATGCAGACAAGTTGAAAAACTACCACATAGCAGAAAAAAAAAAGAATCTCAGTAAAAGGCACCTCTTTGGTATCCTTGGCTTTACTCTGTTCCTGGTCTCCAAACCTCATCTTGGTCAGGTGGCCGATGATCTCCGCCATGCGCCGTTGATCTGCTCACACAGAAGAAAAAACCCAAAAACTTAGCTGTAGGGGGTCAGTGGGTGCTTCGTTTTTCGATGCATCTAAGAAAACTAAAGGACTCAAGGAGTATCGGTGACTCTCTAATGAGTCATTTACCTTCTTCTCTCTGAGCGTCCTGATTATAACGCAGGGAGCGAGTGCTGTCCCACTTATTCTTCTGGAGGCTAACTCTACAACAACACACCCAAACAGATTAGTATAGAAAGTTGAAGATGTCCTTAAGTGTTGTACATGGTTTAGTTTTGATTGGCGGCTTACGTGAAAGGTGTCATGTCTCTGGTCTGCGACTGAGGAAAAGAAATAAAAATTCAGTTTTTTTGTTACTGTTTGGCAGGCGAGCACAAAATATTTGCAAAAGTAAAGTCTTGGTTGGAAATGATTCACCAGAACTTCTATGTTCTGAGGCCTCGCTACACTGATGAGAAGTTTACATCCATCAAACCGATGACTTACTTTCTCAGATTTCTCCTTGCGTTGAAAGTTTGAAGAGGACAGCTGTTTCTTCAGGGGTCTGTGCGCTTTTTTGGCCTTCTTTGCAGCTGGGAACAGAAAAACAAAACATGAGCGGTATAAACAGACTAGGACCCGTTCAGGGTGTAGGCCGCCTCTCGCCCAGAGACTGCCGGAAATAGGCATCGGCTCCACCGCGACCCTGACAAGCACTAAGCAGGAGAAGATGGATAGATGAATGGATGGATGGATAGAGAATAGTATAAACAGATGCATCAGGCGCCATCTGCAGGCTAAAAGGAGAACTGGCCCTGAATAAAATCCAGAAGGCTCAAAGGATAAAAAAAATAAATAAACAGGAGACAAGGGGTGGCTGGAATGTTTATCATCAGTATATGATCCAATTTAAAGGTTATAAATAAAGTTTTAAAGTGTTAATGACAATACTGATTTCTTTTAATTATGCATTAAAATATTGCAGCAGGACATACCAAGTAGTTCTGAGTTATTATGATTTAAAAAGGCTTATTTTTAACACAGTTATCCTATATTTAGTAGCTCCACAGCAGCACTGTGATTAATAGCTAACGATAACCCATATCCGTGTGGTGATGTCAGATGGAAAACCCTTTTAGAGCTAGCGCAATATGCTATAATGGAGATGGATGGAAACATGGATGATTGTTCCAGAACATCTAGTCCAGAAATGGTTGGTGTGGTTGAACCATCAGCCAGTTAAAGCTCAGGTAGTGATGCTGTAGATCATGGCTGCATCAAATCTTCCAGGTCAGAACCATCCAGAACGGACTTCTAGCCTGCAGAGTCAGACTCTGAGCTGGAGGGTTACGGCTGATATAACCGCAGCAGCCCTGGTAGAAAGCACACAGCTTGCTATGCCTCTGGTCCAGATAGTATAACCAGTTATTAGTTTATAAAATACAAATTAGTATATAATAATTAGCTTTAAAAACAGCATGAATTCCTCTGAACCTTCTGTTAAAACCACAAACCTATAAAAAAAACTGACACAGAAGGCCACATTATTAACGAGAAGTTAGGCTCTGACTCCAGTATTACAGAAGCTAATGACAGTTAGCTTTGGATTATCACCTGGGATAACAGCAATTTACGATCTAAGCTCCACATCAGCCTCCAGTTCTTTTCTGTATATTCTTTTGCAGAAAATAATGATCTCAGCTTGGATGTGGAGCTGGAAGTGCTTGGAGTGACATTGGCAGGTTCTTAATAACAATCTGACCATGTCTGACTCAAACACTGGGTAATGTTCTCCCTCTCCCCTGGCAGGGGAACGCTGTAGGTACGGCCGGTGGAAGCTGCTTAAGTTAGATATTCACTGAATAACCAAACAACTCTCAACGAGGGACGAAAATAAAAAACAAGTCCTCAAAATGTTCCAAGTGCAGTGGAGACGACATGGAGTGCTCCAACTTTTCCCGATCTCATCTGTCTTGCTTTACCCACTTTGAAAGCAGCTCAGGATCCTTAGGAAATTTAAATAAGATGACACCGCCCCTTATGGTGGCTAAAGCAAAAAAAACAGCAACACAACACAAGCGCATGTAAACCTCAGCAGCTGTCCATAACAACACTCAGTCGTTCTCTTGCATACGTCATTTTCTCTCTCAGTCACTGGGCAGCACTAGAGTCCTTTAAATCACACAGGTTTTTAGATAAAAATTAGATCATGTGGGCGTGCTTGAAATGATTACATTGATCATCTGTATCAACATGTTGATCTACAAAAAATACTAGAAAATGTGCGTTATCAACACTTTAAGTAGGAGTTATATATTAACTGAGTCGACTTTAAAAAAAACCAACAGATCTCTGTTCCAGCCATCCTCAGGTTTCTTCAGATTATTGCTGCCATGTTCCTTCATCGAAGCAAAAGTTTCTACTTTAAAATGTCCAAATAAGCCGTTTTACACCTTACTGTTTAATCACAGATGACAGGTAAGGTGGAAACGTCGTTATAACCATCCTCATGTTTATGTGCAGCAGATGCTTTTCTAAGGTTACTGATGACGTCTTTTCATTTTTGTGATGATGAGCAGTTAACCGAGACGTGCAAGTAGCAACACTTAGCTACTACTTTCTGTGATGAAATCTATAAAAACTCCAATAATATGCTATGTAGAATAGTACTTGATGAACTGCGTTTTAATAACTGCTTGTGAAATTCAAAGTTTAATTATTGAGGTTTAAAAAAACAAACATCATCTGGAGCCCTTTCTTCCACATAAATGTCTGTAGTGTCTATTTTTAACACAGCTTGACATTTTAATGACTGTCACTAAACTACAGAGCTGATTTTATATGGTGTTACCATCTGAGTGAATTTTTAACAGTTTTTCCAAATCTGCAGACAGAAGCTTGAAGCTTGAGCAGCACTTTGAGGGGTTGAACAATTATTAACTCCATCTTGTCCCTGAACATCTGCTGCTAGATTAAAAGTACATAGTCACGTTATTTGTCTAAAACAAAAAGACCAGAATCCAGTAGATTATGAATAAATAAGGCAACATACATCAAGCGTCCGTCCTGTTTTAATCTTCCTTTTTGAGCCTAAATAGAACCCAAGCACCACATAAACAGATGTGGTGCCCTCTACTGGCAGTACTGCTGAACTACCAGGAAGCCAGATGGCCATTAACGCAGCTACTAAATAACTCCTAACCAGCTGACTGTGGTGTAATGCCCGGTAGAAAAACCAAGTGCTGGGAGGATAGGGTTTATATAAAAGCATTGCTAACACCATTAGCGCTATTAGCAAAGACACAGCGACATTAGCATGCTTCCTGAGCTTTAGCTCCAGTTTTAGTTTCCTCCAACGCTCAAAATGTCTTCCCACTTTTATCCCTTTTTGAATAAAACTGTAATTTGCTATAAAGAAAAGTTGTTTGCAATCAGTGAGTGAGTTATTTGTGGATATATTTAAATTTAAAAAATGGTAAATAAAGTGACTCTATCTACAAGACTCTCACCTTGTTTCTTCGACAGCTCTTCTTCATCCCCAACCTCGTCTTCTGTGACCTCTGACCCTGTGGTGTACTCTTCCTCCTCTGACAGCAGGGACTGCTGCTTCTGGAAGGGCAACAAACCCAGTTTTAATTTTCTGATGCAACATCTGTCATCAGACAGACCAACGAGTCGCCCTACCAGCTGAAGAGTCCAGTTCTTGAAAAGGGAAAACTGGATTTTGAAAAAATGAAGAGAAGAGAGTAAAAAACATTAGACAAAAAAGGAGAGGCATCCAATGACGACTGGGAGAGACCTACAGGGCTGCCATCTCTTCTCAGGGAACCTAGGAGCGATAGTTCCATGAGATCTTTGCAGTCTTGGGCTTTCTCTGCGCTTGTTGAACTGTCGTCAGAGCTGGAAACAAGTGAAGGTGGTTTTTATAACTCATAAGAAATCTGTCAGAAGTCTCGAAGGTACCGGCCATGGTACTGACCCGTCTGCAGGTGATGCGTTAGACAAACACACAGCGTCTCTGTGCAGCAGCAGGTCATTTAGGACTCTGGTCTGAGCAGCAGTTGCCTCGTCACACTTCTCCTCATCTGGTAAATTCACGATGTGATCCCGCATCTTACAACCCTGGATACAAACAGACATTCAATAAGCCACAGGCAGATAAGCCTCAGACGTTTCTTTAATATGATTCAGCTATAGCGGCTTCTGTGGTTTATACCTCCATTTTTTAAAAGTTGATCCAGTTTAAAAACGTCATGCCTCACAAACTGATAAGGAATGTAGAGAAGGTGGAGGGAAATCTCTTCTATTGGCCCAACTAAATTACATTTTTAACACATCTTTACCAGAGCTGCAAACCAGTTAGAAAGAAGGTGTATTCATTCATTATTATCTAACAATAATCAGAAAGCAGAGAGCATTTTTTGTGTGTAGATTGTGCCTCAGGAATAATTCAAAGGCTGCAGGCTCTCCTTCAATCTAATTTCCACTCAGACTTTTGCTTTGCATCTTTGCGATGTGCTGCCAGGCCGCCTGGATCAGTAGGTAGAGAACTAGTTAGCTTCCAATAAGGCCTGGAAGCATGTCTGTATTATTCCAGGATGATTCAGAGCTTAGCTATTGGATCTTTAGAAACTCTCAAGGAGAAACCGGCTCCGCCTGATTCTGACAACACTGTATCAGTGAACAGCCTTTATATGAAGAATGCAGTCAAATATCTATTAACTGTGTAACTCCTAGGTGCAAATTGACTTCTGTTAAATGTCTGATCAGGTTTTGGGATCAGTGCTCACTCAGAAAAGCATTCTGAGCATTAAACCCGTTTAGAACAAATCTGAAACGACAGAATTTGGCTGAATGCAGATACACTCCAAAAACCCGGAATGCAAACAACCAAATCCCAGGATACTTTAGATAAACCTTTAGGAGTCTACACTCTCTGGCTAACTTAATTGTTTGTTTTTCATATTCGATTATTTTTTTTTTTATCTCTCTAGTTTTATTGTTCCCCTACGATGGACTGGCAACCTATACAGGGTGAACCCCGCCTCTCGCCCGTAGACAGCTGGCACCAGCACCCCTCGTAACCCCATTTGGGATAAGCTTGACAGAAAATGGATGGATGGTTTTATTGTCTGCTGTTTTCAACAGAGAAGCATACAACTTCCTCAGCACTAAATTAAGCTTGGAGAAGCATACTTTATGTTACCTAAAATCAAAACCACTAGAAAATGTCACCTATACCAATAAAGAAGGTTGAAGCTAAGAAGGAATATGAAATATAGCCCCCCAGAGGAAGATTTTAGAATAGTTTCCTGTAAGAAGCCAGCTTCTGGTTTGGAGGTGTTAGCTAAGATGGATACCTTTGGTATTTCGATGGGGTCAAAGCGCAGAACCCTCTGGTTGCAGCAGGGGTATATTCCAGCATCCTGCCAGCCTTTCTCTGCACCCATGCCAGGGTACAGCACACCATCTGGGTGGTATTTGCAGCAGGTCAGCTCTGCACAAACAAACACCTGTAAAAACACACAGCAGCTGTTTCAAATAGACATTTCATCATGGTAAATTAGCAGAATCTCTCCTCCTTAACTGTCCTGGCTCTGACCTGCTGACATCGTGAGCAGGTGAGGTAATTGATGGTACCCCAGATTCTCCAGTAAACCAGGACCCAGGACTTGAGCTCTTCATATAAAGCTGTGATGTAGTCATGCACATCCCAGCTCTTCTGTCTGTAAACGAAAAGGGGAGATTATTACTCACTAAAAAGAGCAAGCCCACCCTTGCTGCGCCTACAGGATTTTAAAGGGAAAGTAACAGCTGGTTGCTTCTAATTAAAAGTACTTGATTAATTAACCATCAGAAGAAAGTGAAACAGCTTCTCAGCAGCTAGTACTTGAGGGCAGCACGGTAGTGGAGGGTTAATGATTTGGGCTTCCTCTTTCATCCACAGGAATGGGGTATCGTGGAGTCACAGAGTCAACCTCAAACTTCTCTGTATAGCATAGTCTTTTATACAAAGGAATCCATCCATCTAGTATAGCTTAAGCCATAAAACAGGACGATAATCCAAACACAGGAGCAAATCTATAAGGTGTTGCAATGGCCTAGTCAAAGTACAGACCTCAATCTGACTGTCAGAGCTGTATCAACATTAATGTTAGCAGGCACAAAGAACCGCTGCGCACAATAACCTACAACTACCCCGAAATCAACACTGTATTCATGAAACAAGCATTATTTTAAGAATTTGATGCACATTTGTTAAAATCCTGCTTCTGTCTAAAATAGATTGTTTGTCGCCCCCCTCTGGTTAAAAAGGGTTAATGCATCTGGGATCTACACTGGGCAGCAGGGTTACCTGAGGGACTGTCAATGAATTCCACAGAGGTGTCAAGTAACAAAGTACAAATACTTCGTCAATGTACTTAATTACACTTTTTAGGTATCTATACTTTACTCCATTACTTATTTTTCTTCCTTCTTCTGACCTCTACTCAAGACATGTTCACACAAGTATCTGTACTTTCTATTCCTTACATTTTTAAAACAAACATTACTCGTTACTCTTGGCTTCGGTTTAATGTTTATAAATATTTATTTTACATCATGTGCACCATTCAATGCATATCACTGGCGCCATCTGCATCTAGTGAAAACTAGTATAGTTGGATGAGTCATATAACGTAAACACTCATTGGTTAGCTAAAGGAAATCATCAGAAGCAAACAGGTGTTCTTCAAATTGCAAACATGAATTGTCTATACCATGCTACAATGTCTGATTCAGAAAAAGATGTAGAAATGTCTGAAAGGTCAGACACAGGCGAGAGGGTATCGTCCTTGGCCCTATGTCAAAGTCTATGTCATATCACTTTACTTGGATTTATCACTTTACTTGGATTTTCACTTTATTTGGATTTAGTTTTTACATATGCATAGATATACGTACATATATATATATATATATATATGTATATACAGAAGAGCTATATGTGTATATATTTGATCTCTTTTTATTCTTATTTTTTATCTTTATTATATTGCATAGTTGGATGTGTGGATATATTATATAAAAATGTAACTGGAGCGTGTAACAAAAGTAATTTCCCTCTGGGATTATTAAAGTATTTCTGATTCTGATTCTGAAAGAATTTTTCAAAATAGTCAAAAAATTGAGCTTTCAATTCATATAGTGGCATCTGGCTGTTTTTTTTTATGTTACTTTATACTTTTATGCTTTAAGTAGTTTTTGGAGCACATACTTTTTCCCTTTTCTTGAGTAAAGAGGTCAAGTTGATACATCAACTTTTACCAGAGTGTTTTCAAACTGCAGTATCTATACTTCTACCAAAGTAACAAATGTGTTTACTTTTGACACTGCAATTCCATTTTATAATAATTGCAAATACAAATAATTTATGGCTTTCTCCATTTTAAAAGTGAACAGTAATTTTGTTTAAATTTGATAAATATAAATCTGCATCATCTGTCAAGTGTAGTATAATAATTTGCCATTAGTTTTGTGTCAGTTGGTCACATGACCTAAAGCTATTGGAAAACCCCCCCCACTACTTTTAAGTAGAAGAATTACTACAAAATATAAAAAAGGAGTGTGCCTCGTCTTTCTAGTCTAAAATAATGATCTGGCATTCGATTTGTGCCACCGGATCACAAGATAAAGTCAATAATTTTGTTTATCAAGAGTGTTTGTTTCAGATATTTATGGCTCATTTCTGCCAGCCTCGTCCACCTTCTTATCTGATGAAGACGTTGAAGAAAGAGATCCGACCACAACGTCTCAAAACTATTATCACTGGGAATTATTCTGCTTGCTATATCTGTGTGACCTTCTAGTCTGGGTAGGCCTTTAGGTTGAAGCAAGATCAGATATTAAATGTGGATGGAAATGCGGCTCTGGGGTGACATACGCTAGCCTGACGTAGTCCGACTCAATTCTAGTCAGAATATGAGTCTGATACTGCTCCATAGAGCTGTGATTATGGGGCGTGTTTCGAACGAACCAGGAAAAAAAATGCCTCTCCGCTCAATTGGATAGACCTACAACCAATAAGAGCAACGGAGTGCGTGACGTATGTTAAGCGAGGCATAGTTGTTGTCCACAAAAATCAAAGCGTGCAGTTTCACGCCTAGAATAAGAAGATGAGACTTGATCGCGTTTCTCTGTTCCTCTTTTAAAATTAATTTGCTGTCGATATCTTCTAGAACAGACCTAATAGCAGAATCTACTCACCCAAACTCTCCAGCGGCAGCCATTATTCTTGTCACCCTAGCGCGCTTTGGTCACGTGGTTGATTACGTTACCCTTGATCATCTGTCCATCATCGTATAAAGTCCGCCCTGACAATTTGATTGGATCGCTTGACAGTGGGCGATAATACTCGCGCTACTATGGAGCAGAGCCAGACCGAACTTCCCCGAACTCAAACCTTGTGGGCGGGACTAAGTTCTGACTGGTACCCAGGCTAGACATGCGCTGCATTTTTAAAACCAAGACCCAGCATTTATCATTAATTTGGAGGAGTGAATAAGGAAGCGCATGAATGTGGCCGGGTAAACTTATACGGTAAAGTTCTTGCCGTAGTACCTCTGGTGAGTATAGATAATCTGTCCGCAAATGTCCACGTTAATTTTCCTTGGAACGCAGGAAATCTTCCTCTCTGTCTCTTTGGTCAGAAGCTTGAGGCACAGACGACACCTTCATTATGGAAAGAAAACAAACAAAAACAGCATCTTCAGTTAGTTTCCAAAAAAGAAGAAAAGATAAAATAGGAAAAGTAGAGTTCATAATGACCTGTAGAGCGTCGAGGCGTTTCCTGGTGAATCTTTGTTATGGTGCTTTGGATCGAGAAGCTGCTCAATTTTCTTCTGAAACAGTTTACTTTAAGGTGGAAAGGTGAGGAAAGCAGGTTCAGTAAATTAACAAAAAACCTCAGTCTTAATTTAGCTTTCCTTAAATTAGCCAGATATCATCCTAAAACAGACCAGAGGTTAACAAACTTTTCAGCTCGAGAGCCACAAGACAGAACCAGAATGGACTCGCAACCCACACTACCGGTTGGAATACAAATGTTTAAAAAAAGACATCTATGAGGCATGATGGTAATAAAACAGCTCTGTATTGTATTTTGCCCATTACCAAGTAATGCTTTTATATATTCAAACACATAAATGTCTTCATCATTATCATTTACACTTAGTTAAATTTCTTTAAAGGATATAATGGAGATCATGACAGCAACTTTTAGAATCACCGCTTTAGACCAACAAGCTTCAAACCTCTAACCTTTTGAATTTATCTTTTTTGTCCCTGATGTCGTCGGCCTCATTGTGGTTGAAGAGATCAGCGATCCGTGTGGCCAAGTTGCTGTTGATGCAGTTCATGTTGCAGGGAGTCGCAACAATGGCGCTCATGTGTTTGTGGCAATACTGGATGCACTCTTCTACCTGAACATGGACAAAGATGTTCACGTGCCTGCAGGACTTCCTACTGCTTGATAAATATCAGTAAATCCACCAAAGAATAACTTCCTAAACAAAGTTTCACCACAGCTTAAATTATGGCTGTTTTTATAAACCAAAATACTCCTACCCCGTCACTGACCAGCCCCTACAGTAAATATCTATAAAATGCCTTCATAATAAATTAATCACAGTAGCATAATATCACTAAAATAAAAAAATAAAAAATGAAAAATCTAATTTAAGCAAACAATTTTATTCTGTTTGAAAAAGTCAGAGATTCTCTGATTCTGCTGAAGCAGCAAAAAGGACATTTTCAATTTAGAGCCAGTCCAGGTTTGTTTTTCTTATCTCATTAGAGTTTGGTTTTTAACCTAAAATGCCTTTTCCCTTTCAAACAAATATAGGTATATCCTAAAACATAACATTTAAGGTATAGTAGAGGATTTTTTTGTGAATTGTTGAAAAGACCCGCCCTCTCCACTACAAATGTACAGCCCTGTACCCACTCCCGAGAGTGAACGCCTGTTTAACGTGCAACAGCATTTACACCCATTTCTCCTCATGCACGCTCTGTTTAAAAGTTGCTGTTTGCATCGCTCGTGCAACCTTACTTTCCAAAAGAACATTTGCAATTTTTTCCACTGTCAGACTCACCACCGCTAAGTGAAAATGGGGACGAGCACGGTAGGACAGCATTACGTAAACATATCACCAGAATGATTGACAAGTAGGAGGACCGCTTATTTTGATGATCCACCTGGAAAAAGAACATCCTCCACTATACCTTTAAATAAAATAAAAATAGAAATAACTTAGGAAGAGAAATAAGGTCAGAAAAAAGAAACCTTAACTTCCAGCTTTAGTGCTCTTGAAAGGAACTGCACTGTAGAAAAATGAAACAGCCTCCTCTGTGCTTTGGAACCTGACAGGGGGGCTTGGACCAGCAGATTAAAGGCAAGGCCACAATCACCCCTGTTGATTTAATTCTATGTCAGGGAACCAAAAATATGACAGATCAGGAGTCACATCTATTTTGTTGCTGAACAACTGTCAGCTTTAATATAATCATGAATTACTACTTAAAGGTTCCAAGAAAGTGTTGATTTCCTAAAAATTACTTGTGATGACAATAATTATGCCATCCATTATTGTATAAAAGAGAATTACTACCTAAGGTGCTTTTTGTTGTTTTTATAAAAATAAAAGGGCAAATTAAAGTTTTCATTCTAGTGTGAAATTATGTTATGTATTTTTCTTACACATTATTGCTGGTGTACAAATCAATGTGGAGGGTAAAACAAACAGAATGATAAACGACTCTAGTTAAAAATAAAGTCCTGATAAAACCATATCCATGCAACAATAAGCACAGTTCTGTGTACAGGCCTCCTTTTTTCAGGAAATGACAAAAAAATCAGCCAAAAGCTTTAAATCAATAAGTTAGAAATAAAGGTTTTAGTTTTGCTTTTTGTTTTATCTGAAAAAACAAAAGGCATGAACACATCACCCACTTCTCTTCACACACCACAACACTTACTAACGTATCCATCTTCAAGAACTCGGAGGAGATCAGGATTGAGATCACATTGCTGGGCTCTGAAACCGACAAACACCACATGTCCAACCAACCAAGCAAACAACACAGAACAGGCAGCCAAGGACCCACCATACACACATCACATTTAGTGAGCCGTAAACCGAGCGCCACCCACGGTTTACACAAGCAGGTGAACAGCTCAGGCTTTACCAGGTTTAATCATGTGAGCTCTAGAGGTGATTTTATTTTAACAGATTTACCCAGACGGGGTTTGTCTTTGTTCCCCTCTCCGACAGAGTTCCTTCTGACGTACTTCATGAGCCAGTCGAAGATCTGCACGTCGCAGTGAACTGAGATGTCCAACTCTTCCCACCTCTGTTGGTCCACAGACAAATACTCTGCAAAGTAACGCATCTCTTTGACAAGAAGATCTCTGGGACAGGTGAAATCCTGCTTCAGGTTCTTGGTCTCGTCACACACATGGATCACCATATTAAGACTGGGGATAAAAAAAAAAAAGTTTATTATTTAAAAAAAGAAATGCCTACGTTTTTATGTGAGGTGAAGTATCTTCTTCAGGTCAAGCACTTTTTAAAAGGACTACTTACTCCCGTGGCTTTTGAGGTTTGTCATCGGCTTCAACGGAAACTTGCCTCTCTGTCACCTCCAAACTGCCACTCCTTCCAGAGAGGACTGACTTAGACCCTTCAGACATCAGGAGAAAAAAAAATGTTAAAAGAACCTAAACCCAGAACAGAAGTATAGTCTCCTTCCACCCGTAACATCTTCACATTTTGTCATGTTCAAACCACAAAAGTCAATGTATTTTATGGACACTAGAGGTCAACGAAGAGGAGTGCTTAATTTAACATCTAACCAAGATAATCATAAAAACAAGGTTATATATAGCCTTTTTTAGTGGTTCATCAGTCTCCAACTCCGAAGAATCTATTTCAGCACTGAGCCAGGTTACATATGGTTCTGCCTATGGTTCTGCCTACATATGGTTCTACAGTGCAAAACTTACACTGATCGCAGCGTCAGAATTGCAGAGTTAATTTTACTTCACATAGTGTTCATTTTTTACAAGTGTTAACAATTGTCAGAGTAATTCTTATTTTACTCTATAACTAATATCGACTCACATTCCCCTTCTTCTTCTCCTTTGACTATTTGAGCTGATGTAACAAGTAAATTGCTCCGCTGTAAAATCAATAAAGTCAATCAATCACTAGAGTCAAATTTTACACTGTATTGGGCAGGACCATATGTATCCTGGCTCAGTGTTGAAATTGAATATTTAAGTGTTACATTAACATTGCTAATTTTACTGTGAAGCTGTGGGTGAACCGTTAGCATAGAATGACTCATGCATGCAAAGTTACTAGGTTGAGAGTTTTGTTTATTAGCGACTACAGCAAATTGAGTATACCACACAATACAGTCACTGCTTTAACGATCATACGGTTAATTAGTTTGAGCTTTTTTTCTTCTTTTTTTTTATTCATCATTAATAATGTTTGGATCTTACAGATATTTATTGTATTTAAGATGCACCCTGAAAAAAAAAAAGATGGTAAAACTTATTTTTGTCTCCCAGGAATAAGACCTTGTGAGCCTAGCTGCAATTTGGGGTTGTGCGTCCTTCTAACCGTTACAATATCATTCTCCTGTGTCCAGAAAAAAGCATTGTGATCTCTATTTTAAACTACATTGAACATGATTGTTTTTCTGGGGTTTTTTGTCAGGAAAACAACACACTGGAAAAAAAATTTAAATCTAGATAAGTAATTTTTTCTTAAAATAAGTGAATTTGTTCTTGGATTAAGGAGGTAAAGGAGAAATTTTGCTAATGGAACAAGACAATTTACAATTAAAATAAAGGAACACAAATTGCATTGTCTTATTTTAAGTGCATATTATCTAATTATCTTATTTTAAGAGTAAAAACACTAATTCCATTGGCAAACTATCTAATTTACCTACTCAAATTAGGCTTAAATACACTAAATTTAATTTAAATTCTTCTTGGATGAAGCTGAGAGCTTTACTATGTGTGGACTTTTGAGCATATTCAAAACAGTCTTACATGTAATGGAAAGAGCACTACATTCTTAATATGAACAAGAAGACATATTTAATACCCTGTAAAGATTCTGGTTGATTTTATTCATCATGATTTCATCCTATTATTCAATTTGAATATATCTTAAATGTCTGAGCACACTATAGTACGGTACTAACCGACCTGTAACTTTACCGTAGCTCTGATTGCTTCCTTCTCTCTTGACCAGATCTTCAGCCTCCAGCAGGGTGCGCAGCCTCTCAGATGGTGAGACGCTTCCCCCCATCAGGTCATTACATTGATAATCCACATGGGGAAACCCAGCCGTGGTTTTCAGCTCCTCATATCGGCGGGCGCACTGTGAAAACCAAATCAAAGCTGGTGATTTGTTCTCATAAGCAATTATTGTACCCAGAGTTGCTAAGCCGTGCAGAAAAAGATGGGCATAATGGATTAACTGAAGAGAAAATGGCTGATGGAAGCATTCATAGTTACCCAGCACTGTGGTTACCTCATTAGGAGTGAAGCCTGGCACCAGTTTGGCCACATTATCCCAGTTTATGGGCTGAGGCACTCCCCACAGAGACCCCAATACCATATCCAACACCAGGACATTGTTGTCGTAGGGGAAATTATTGTTGTCCGAACAGAAGCCGCTCATCTCTTTACGGACACACAGTCAACAACAAAAAAGATATTCAGTTAACACAAACAAAGCCACTGATCCAGTTTTGAGATTTCTGCAAGAAAAGCATTTGGTTGGATTTATAAGAACCTGCTTAATTAAAGATGCACTTTAAGCTGTCAGAGTTGAATCTGATATTTTTTATTTTCTTTTTTATGCTATTCTATAATGAATCATACAGTTTAATTCTAAAGTCAGGGTCTGTTAAACATAGACATAAATTTAGTTGAAAAGTGAGTGAGCAGTAACTAGAGCAGAAACACTTTAAGCTAACTTAGCTCCCTTTTGCTTTTGACAGTTTATTCCTCTAGTTTGGCAGACAATAAACAAATGTGAATTTTTGCTTGTCTCCTGCTGCGGAGGACCCTGTTGCTCTGGAGAGAAAAAATAACGGGCCCACTCAAGTGAATGCTGGTCCTATTAACAGCTCCTTTATGGCCCCAAGGTTCAACCAGGCTGACTTACAACAGCAAATGAAACAAAAGATTAAAATAATAATTAAACTACAAATAACTACCATAAATAGTCCTAAACTAATGCCCAATACACATGAATGGGGAAAAGTGACGTCATAGTCCTAAACTTAGGACTATTTATGAGGTTACCGAACTATAATTATGACCAGTAACACTTGGATTACAGAGATCTGAAATGCAATTTTAGACATCCAGAATGTTTATTCCCGATAGGAGTAATGTCATTTCAGATATCTGAAAGTAACGGCCCAATACACATGAATGGGAAAAGTGATGTAATTTGTCCAAGTTAGAATTACATTTCAGATATCTCAAATGTTCATTTCAGAAAAAAGGAATATATTTAAAGATATCTGAAATACAAACAAATATATGTTAAAATAAGTAAAGATTTGTAGATATCTGAAATGTAGTTCTTACTACTACAAATTTCATTCCAGAGTACTTAAAATTTTATTTCTACTGGTAGAAATGTAATTAGGAATATCTAAAATACAATTCTGACTAGGAGTATTATAATTGTTACTAGTTAGAATGCTTTACTGCTATCTATAATAGAAATGTAACTAGTCAGCCTGCATATTTTATGTTAAAACAGCGCCCCATTTCTTTTTTGAATGTTAGTCAAAATATGTTTTTAAGTTTCTAAAACTGTATTTTGGATAGGCATTATTAAGATGTAGATATCAGCAATTCAAATTTAACTAGTCATATATCAATAGTTGATATCTGTAATTATATTTCTACTAGTAGAAATATGTTTTAGATGTCAAGAATTGAATTTCTGGAGATCTGTAATGTTACATTTATTTTTCGCTATCTGAAATAGTAATTATGACCAGCAGCAGAGATGGGAAGTAACGAAGTACAAATACTTCGTTACTGTACTCAAGTAGATTTTTCTGATATTTTTACTTTACTTTACTACTTATTTTTATGGCGACTTTTTACTTCTACTCCTTACATTTTTACACAAATATCTGTACTTTCTACTCCTTACATTTTAAAAAATTGGCTCGTTACTTTAGTTTTGAATCATTTCAATGGAGTTACCGTTATTATTTTTCACGTCACTGTGAAAACGGAGCCGTTTTCCCCCTCTGTTCCCAAAGTGTAGCCGCTGTCTATCACGCACAGCGTCACATCCTTCACTACATTTCCCAGCATGCACCACAAACCGGCCATCATGGCGGCGGCAGTTCCAAACAATTCACCAGGTAATTTACACTAGTTCCGAAATTACAACGTCACCTTTCATTCAACACTTTACTTACTCACCAGCGTAGCAAACTCTGAAGGTACCCACTGCGACAGCTTTAATATACATTCCGTAGTCGGTAATAAAACTTCCCAGTCAAATTACACATTCTCTTCCCTTAGTCCGTCAGCATACTGGTCCGTGTGGAAACACGTACCGCATCGGAGCCAGTCTCTTATCCATTGTCCCAGGGCATTGAAAAAGACTATTAGGGGGCAGGGGTGTTAAGTGGGATTTCAATGAATGTAATAATTGTTTGCATGGTAATAAGTAGGTGAAATGGTAATGTTAGCATGGTTAAATTATTTCATTAATATGTATGTTTTTGTATGAATGATGCTATTGTCTGTATTTATTTTTCTACAATGTTTTTTTTTTTAAATTAACTTTATTTAAACAAGGTGGGTAGAAACAAGTTCGGCAATAAGAACATTAGAATTCTAATTATATAGAAGGCATAGTAGAGGCAGATTTCAGAATGAAAATACAAAGTAACTTTGATGAGGAAAATAAAAAATGCGTGAGTAATGCTAATAATACAATAAAATAACATAAAGACAAGGGGATTCATATGTTAGGATTAATGTACATCAGTGGGCAGTTCCATTAGTATTTCAGTCAGGTATTTGTAAGATTCGATACATTCAAGAGATGTCAAATATAAATTAAATTCAGATAAAAAAATACTAAAGATAGGGGAGGATCTCAAGACTCTGTTTATGAATAAAGAATTTTGCTAAACAAAAAATTAGGTTACAACAGAGTTCTATTGTTTTGTCTTTCAATAGTATTCCAAAAACTACCATATCTCTAGAAATAGAATTAGGGAGTGCAATTTTTGATTTGATCCATCTTTCTAAACAATTCCAAAATGTTTTAGTCTGACTGCATTCATAGAAGAAATGGTCTATAGTTTCTACATCACTTTCACAGAATGAGCATTTATTGTCATCAATATTAAAACGGATTCTTAGTAGTTCTTTTGATGGGTAGATGGCAGTTTCTTTAGCTTTTGGTTGTATAGGAAGTTTAAAAAAAAAAGGTCTTGGTATTTCAATTTTTGTTCAAATTTGCAAAGAATGTTATTTTTATTTATTTTCCCAGGGAACAAAGTTTCATTTAGATAGTTTCTAATTGTGTGGTTATTGAATTTTTGATCAGTGATTGATATTCAATTAATAGATAAATCGGGTAGTTTGGGGGTAATTGGATGATATATTATTATATTTTGAATCTGATTAATAAATTGTTCTGGCAAGGCGTTAAGTAATCTTGTAAATTCATCTTTTGGAGGAAGGAACTGATATTTTGTACAGAATTGTTCGTAATTTAATATGTAACCATTAGTGTCCATTAAGTGTATAATAGACCAAATATTCTTCTCCATCCAATCTTTGTAGAATAATGACTTATTGCGATGTAGAATAAATCTATTATTCCATATGATAGAGGAGTGTGGCGAGTAGTTATGAACATATATCATTTTCCATTTTTTCTACAATGTTAACTGTGCTTTATTGGGGATTTCCCTTCCTGTTTAGTTGGGCTGTCCCAATTGGCTGATTATTGGTGGGTCTATTTAAGGGGCACTCCCAATGGCTTAGGGGTCTGCTTGGAGAGACTGGTTGGAGAAACTGCTCTTCAAGGTCTGCTTAGAGAGACTATATTTAAAGTCAGCTTGCTGTGAGGCTGTCAGTGTTTTGTATTGCCTGCAATGGCCGGTTTTGTTTTCTTTATTTGAAAGTATTTTGTTTTTTTTTGTCTTCACCGTCGCACCAGTAAACCGCTACACGCTTTTGAACTGGAATTTTGTTGTCCGCTGGTTCTTACCACCTTTTTGCAAGTCATCTGCTTACTCCTCCTCTGACGTGAGACGGGAGCTGGTGAGCCGTTTTCTCACAAATACCAAATTCAGTCTAATTGGATGGGAATCTACGTTGCATTTGACGCACCACTACAAGATGAATCGACAGATTCGGCGGTATTCATTCGCTGCAAATCATTGCAGCTTGGTGGCGGTGGCGTTAGCATAGTAGCAGTGGCGGCTGGTGAAAAATATTTTTGGTGGGGCTGATATAGCCTAGTGTATGTCTCCAACTAATCCGGAATAAGAATTCAAATAAACAATTGGACAATACATACAATTTAACAGTAATGATTTAATTTACTATATAATAACAGTAACAGTGATGATTTGGGTCACTGTGACGGGGTTCTTTGGCCTCCAAGAATCCAGTCTCAGTCGGATTACCGGTGTTGGTGATTTATTGAGCTCAAAAACTCAAAACAGGGTGCAAAAGAAACTAAACATGTACAAGATACTCTGGGCCTCAGCCTCCCTCCAGTTACCAGCAATGTAACAAAGAAACAGAAAACAAAAATTGCCGCTTTTCTTCCCACAGCCCTCATTAAATAGTTTAAGCCCCTCACATCAGGCTCTCTTATTTCTGATTTCTTCTCATTAATCAGTTTTGTCCATATATTACCTCCACAAACAATTGATGTACAAAAACAAATAATTTTTACAACTTAATTCTTTTACACAGATTCATTGACTTATTCAATTACACCAAAGTGGGTTTGAACCCAGCAAAGACGCAGCCAGACTGAAGATGACAAGTCCCCGTAGCATAAACACGTACACCCCCCCCCCCCCCCCCCACACACACACACACACGGCTAACCCCACTGAAATATTAAGTGTGCACCCTCAATATGCCAGCAGGTAACCAGGAACAGCTTGTGTGTTTTAAGTTCATGGAGCTACTGGTCTCAGCGCGAGTGTATTGGTCCTCACAAACACAGTATAACAGGAATGTGTGTGTGGCGCGCAAAGTTAGAGAGGTTGTTTTAAGCGACGAGGTGGATTCGTCACAGTCACAATAACCATGACATGAAATGTTCATATCCTACAACAGGGATGTTCTTCTGGCAAACGGGTAGATAAATAAGGATCTCACCGAATTTGGTGGAATCTGCATCTCGGTCGTTACATTCGCCATCTTCCCTCTAACTGTCTGCACCTGCGCTTGGGTTCAGAAGCCTGTTAAAGCGCAGTATTTTCAGCGCCCCAATACCATAAAGTTCCGAGACGCTGATTGGCCATTAAATTCACCTAGCAATAGTACATGATTGACAGATTCTCTGCAAATGTGGGTCAGTCTGATCAGCGCCCCCAGAACAGAGACGGTAGGAGTCTGTCTGTGGAAATCCACAAATTAATGACAGTAGATAGGGAAATGTAGTTTATATAATTTGTTTTGCTTATAGGTACACAGTCTAGAGAGTAAAACTGACATTTATGAGTTAATTTCTAAAAATATATTTTACGTTTCTTTCTTCTTATCAGGGAGGGCGGTGCCCCAGCGCCCCCTATGGGCCGGCCGCCACTGCATAGTAGTATGGACGACGAGATGATTGAAAATGAACACAACGGAGATCTAGTCCTATTGGCAGACATCCATTTAAAATGTAGGCAACGGCATGAAAAAAGTGGTTTCTACTTTTACTTTTATACTTTAAGTAAATTTACAAGCCTGTACTTTGTTACTTTTACTTGAGTAAAGAAGTTTAATCAGTACTTCCACTTTTACCAGAGTATTTTTTAACACAAGTATCTGTACTTTTACTCAAGTACGGAAAGTGAGTACTTTTGCCATCTCTGACCAGCAGTAACTCTATTATGGAGAACTGAAATTAGAATCAATCCTCGTCAGAATTCATTTTAGATAGGAAGAATGTTTTTTTAGATATCTGGAAGTAAAAGCCCAATACACATGAATGGGAAAAGTGATGTCATTTGTACAAGTAAGAATTACATTTTAGATATCTGAAATGCTCATTTTGACTAGGAAGAAATGCATTTGAGACATCTGGAATATTTATTCAGTCAAGCTGATAAATGTCAAAAGGGTCACTTAAAATTTGTAAAGATTTCTAGGTATTTGAAAGTTTATTCTTACTATTACTATTATATTCTTGGCAGCCTGAAATGTAATTTTTGCTAGCAAAAATGTATTTTAGGATATCTATATGTACATTTTTGTGTAGTAGGAATGTCTTTTTGACTAGGAAGAAACTTATTTTAGAGATCAACAAATAGAACAATAGAGAGAACAGCTTCTAATAAATGTCAAAACGGCCTGCCATATCCACCATGACCTAAGAAGATTGCTGTTGCTCCCAAACTCTATAACTACCCTTTTTTACTATAAGGATTTGTGATACATTGAAAGATTTAAGTACTTTTTAAAATTCAAGCTTTAATACAAGCTAATGGGTTAAAATCAAGCTATTTTTTCTTTACTCTTAGCTTTTTGCTGTTATTTTCACTTAGCCAGTTTATTCTAACATACTTATTTATTTCATTATCGACCAGGTTTCTATATTTTTATGAGATTGAAATACCTTCACAACCCTTTAGATTTGAAAAGTGCTCTATAAACGAAGGTTAAAAAATAGATTGACAGGAAACGTTTTACAATTATTTGTATTGCCCTTTTTCTTTATATTTCAGAAAAACAATTAAAATATATCGATCATTTCCGAAGTAGAAAGTTGTCTCAGCACATATAGGCTGCTCATGATGCAATATAAACACCAAATATATAAAATGACGGCGCAGAGGGAGGTGATGCTACCGCAGGCCGAGTCTCTTGGTAACTGTAACATCAGATGCTTTCAGGTTAAATCAAATACATAGTTATTTCTGAGATGAAACAAAAAAATGAGCGTATTGATGTAGTGAATAGCCCATACCGTCGTAGCAGAGTCAAAACCGCGGATGAATCTTTTCCGCCATTCGTGAAAATGGTGCTGATGCTGCGGTCCAACGGCTAACTGCCAGAGGAGCTAACTTTGCGGGATGGCACTATTTGCTTCCTTCAGGTAACCGTCGGAAATTTAACTTCCGAAAGTCACTCTTACGCAGTTTATGCTTTTTATGCCTTTCCAAGTTAAGGCATCCATATATATACAACTTACTTACTTAAAAGGGCACAGACAAAAACGTCCACATATTTTCCGTAAAAATTAGATCAAAAAGTGAAACTACCTCTCCAAAGCAAACGATTTCCGACAGTCCAGAAAGGCAGCAAAACCTGGATTAGTTAGCATGAGTGCTAATCATAAACGAAGGCGTCCGCGTCATTGTCTTGTTTACGCATTAAACCAGAACCCACGAACCATTTAGTTTAACAATAAAACAAACGCCAGTTAGAAAACCTCTGATATACGTGAAAAGCTGTAGTTAATAAAGCCATCCCAGTTGCCGCACTGCAGCACCTTGAGCGTCCTGTTGCTATGAGACGAGAGTCGTAAACCAGGTGTCGTCAATTGTTTCGAAAAAAAATTCACAGCAGCATGGTCCAGTTCCAAATAAAACGGCATAAAAAATAAAGCTCATGTGCAAAACGTATGCAATTAAAAAAGTATATTAATACAAAGAAGAATAAAAAATAAAAGCTGAAAGAAAGTAGAAAGCTTGGGTTTGAGAGCATGTTTAGAACATCAGCTTTGAAAAACAAAAGAAAGTCATTATGAAATGTATTAAACTTTGACTGGATTTTAAAAATGTGGCCTTATGAATGAAAAAAATTCCAGAGGAGGACAAGAGGAATTATAAGAAAGCCTTTGTTTGGATTGCTCTTTGAAAAAAAAATTCTTAAACAGTGTCAGCTGTTTTAGTGTCAATACAATTAATAGGTGATGGTAACAACTGCACAATAAAAAAGCTTTGAAAATATTTATTTCCAAAATATTAATATTAAATATTTACAAAATTACTCTGAGACTGATAAAGTGAAGAAATTAGGCAGATTGCACTTCTCCAACTCTGAATCATATTTGTTCCAGACAGAAGTCAACACAGAAGACGGGGAGGCCATCAACAGAGAGCCCAAGCTTCACAAGATAACATAATCACATTATCAAACTCCTTTAGCCTAAAAACTGATAACATACCAGATTCTTTCATGACCTTGCAAAAGAAACTTGCTCAAGCATTTATTGTGCAACCTCTGAATGAGAAAATGTAAAGATATCCTAATACTTTTATTTAAAAGTTTTCCATTAGAAAACCTGAATTCTGATTTTGATATTTTAAATTAAGAACTAATAAGTCGTTTATGATGAGCTTCTTTGTGAATACAACTGCTATTGTATGAATTTTAGTCAACTTCGAGAGTTACAGATTGCAAACAAGCACAGACTGAGCTATTCATTGTTAATTATAAATCCCTACACATGAAGACATAGCCTTCAGAGGTCAGTCTTGTCAGGCACGTTCACCACAGTGGTAGATGGCATGTCGGAGCTCGACGTGCTCAGATCAAAGGAAGCAGGAGTTTCTCTGTATGCAGACTCCAGGAGCTGCTCTGCAGAGGCTGTGGCGAGGTCAGAGCTGAAGTCTCTGGCTGCAACAGACTGTGAGGCTGTCTGGGATGTCTGCACACTCCCTTGCTCAACCTGAGTGAGCCTCTCCATCTCTGCGTGCTTACGGCCTCTCCTTTTTCCAAGGATCTTGACGTAGTTTGCGGGGACGAGTCCAGTGGTCTCACCGTCCAGGCTGGCCAGCAGCCATCCACGCACCCGGGGTTGTTGCTCTATGGGGAATAATATATAGGGATTTTAGTCTGACACTTGGGATGTTAAATACAATTAATATTTGAAAACTCCAGCCCAACTGTACATTTTAACCTAATATGTAAGATTCTTCTAGAAGATGTTAAGGACATGTCACCTTTAGGGGCCAGATTAAGCATGTCTCCAGCCCGCAGCGAAACTTCCTCCTCTGAAGAAGCCGTAAAATCGTATTCTGCTCTGGCCACAACATGGTCGTCCTCCCCGCTGGCCCAGTTAGTGGCTAAATACAGAGGGAATATTTAAATTAACTACATTTATTTTTATTTTTTTTTAAACACTTGACATTTTTCCCATTTATTTTTACATTCAAACTATAAACTTCTGTCTATTTTACTGGACTTTAATGTGACATACCACACAAAGAAGTTAATGCAGAAGAAAATGTGGGAATGAAACAGATGTTTTTCAAGCTTTATTTAATTAATGAAAAATAAAAATTGTATTCAGACTCTATTTTGATAGCCTAAATTAAAAAATTGGTAAACTAATGGCTTAAAAATTGTAATGCAGTCCATCTGAATGAACTTTGGATAACATGACTATTGATGGAGATAAAATAAGCAGGGTTCCTGCAGGTGCAACCAACACAAATATGTGATATTTAAGTAAAAAATTTAAGACATAGGTCTTAAGTTTCTGAGTGAAAGAGTAACTTTAAAAAAGTACTTTTATGATCACTTTATTGTACGTTTAACTTAGGGAATATAATTTATCCAGATGAGTAAAGTTTAAGGCAACCAAAAGAAGCCTGATGCAATAGAGACTTTCTGCCAGAAAGACACCTAAGGTGCATTCGCACTGAACGTGGTGAATTTTCTCTTTGGTTCGCCTGACATTCTGCTCGTCTCTTGCAAACACCCCAGGGAACTTCCCAACAGCTCGCTTCACCAAAAAGGAAAAGTGTCTGCCTGCTTGCTGGTGTTGCTATATATACACACAATACATATACATATGTTACTTACTGAAAGGGTTGCTTCTAAGGTTTAAGGTGAAAAACTGGACTTAAAAAGAACAAAAGAAAACATTTTTTTCTAACTGAATTTGGTATTTTTCTTTTTTTTTTAATAAAAGGTCTATTATTAAAACTTCCACCTCACAATTAGAGACTAATGTAAGCTGGTCTCTGACATAAATCCTTTTATGGATGTTTGTAGCCGTCACATGATTTACGTGCAAAGCATAAACAAAGTGCAGAAGTAACTGGGAACTTTAGTACATGTGTGTTTTGATGTCTTAGCACATGTTCTCAGTTCAGGTAAATGTAACCCAAATCTAATTTTTTTTTTTGCCCCTATGCAACATATGTCCAACAACTTAGTCTGAACAACCCAATTTTGATCTTTTCACCTCCCAACTAATCCAAATCTCTGATTTTCATATGTGGAACTAAATCAGATATGTTACTGTATCAAACTCTCATATCATCCAGGCTTCAACTAGCAACACTGCACCAAAACAGGTTCTAAACAGCCAGACATTAGCCTTACCACTTTCTTCAGAGCCTGCAGTGGAGCTGAGCAGCTTCCAGATGAGATAGGGTCCACCAAGAACTACAGCAAAGAAAAGGAAGATTGGCCAGGACTTTACACTCTGATCCTCAGCCCCTGCTCCATAACCCCTGGATGAAGCTGTAGCCAGGGCATCCGTCGTGCTGTCAGCCCACAGGTCTTCAACATCAGTGTCTGACCTTCTACCCAGCAGTCTCATCAAGCGTCTGTAGAGGTAGCGCAGCGTTCGCACCAGAGCGAAGGCTGACAGAACCCTTGTGAAGTGAGCACGCAGCCTTGTTAGGTGGTTGGCTACATCCAGCACAGCGCGGAAGCTGTTGTACACTGCTGAAAAGGTGGCGTCCAGCATCATGCTGACCGAGGTAAAGGCCTGGACGATGCTTTCAATGGACTGGAAGGCACCGCGGCTGCTTTCCTCCGCCTGCTGTACAAAGCGGCTGGGAGGGACGTCCTCTGTGTGTGGGAAGCGGCTGTACCCTCCCATGCCGTAGCCGCCGCCATAGCTGTAAGGACTGTAGCCACCATAGAGGGAGCTCCCATAGGGACTGTAGGAGGAGGTAAAAGAGCTGTAGGAAGGACGATATGACTGCTGCGTGGGGCGGGGAGGCACTGGAGGAGCCATTCTGGTTAGAACAGGTGGGCCTGCTGGTGTGGAAAGGCCCCCAGCTGCTGGTCTGAAGTCTGTAGATCTGTTTAGTTGGAAAAGAAGCCAATAGAGTTTTATAGTGAGACAAGGTAGCTCCAAAAGGAAAGGGTTAAAAGATCTGCTTAATATAAGGAGCATTTGTTGTGATCATTATGAGAACAAAGTGCCTGCACTTTGGGTACTAAGGTGTCAAATAGAGAGAAAAAAAAAAAAAAGACATTTTGTAAAATAACTGAACCTCAAAAGTAAACAAAAAACAAAACACATCTCACTATCTCTTTAACAAAATGCAAAGGTAGCATGTGAGTAAACAATACTATAAGGTTCCCTGAGATAACATGTGTTGGGAATTGGCAGTATAGAAATAATCTGAATTGAATTAAATATCCAACAGCTTTTAAAACAGTCTTCTGCAGGAGTAAAGACACTGCTGCTGTAAATCACTATGGAAAAGATTTAGGTCCATTCAAAACTAGTGGAAAAACTTTGTTTAAAAACTGTAAGTTTTAAGATTAAAGCACTGGTGAGCTTATCTATTTTTATCCAGTTCATAAAGACATCTGGTTCATTTTAATGACTGCACATAATGGGGAGGATGAATTATCCACAACGATCTTTAAACACTAACGACGTCTTGTCATCATTTAAAAGTGTATTTAGTCTTTATATAATTATTTTCTATCATTATTATGTTTAATAAATAATAACGGTGTGGAATATATTGTGTATTTCTGATCTATTTCTAGGACTATATCCAAAACCAAGAATTTGACAGCTGAAAAGAGCTGGATCTAATCTCACTGAAAATCATTTTTGACTCTTTAGAAGGCCAAAGCAACAAATTGACTCGTATTTAGATGGTAATTTATCCAGAGATGCTTGAAATGTAATGTAAACAACAGGCCGCAGGCAGCGAGGCCTTAGCTTAAATTGATCAACCACAGTTTAACAATTCAGAGGAACAAATATACATTTGACAAATTTAGCATAGATAAAACTTAAATATCAACTGTTCGGCAAACTCTAGTATGTTTGGTTAGAAGCTTCAGCTTCTGAAACAAATGTAGCATCAACTAGCTAACAACATTAGCAAACGTTTTGCTAGCAGCAAACCCCGCCAACATAAACTGAATAAATGCGTTTTACCTATAATTTAAAGGTGCGCCGATAGCTCCTGGAATACGTCTTTCCCATGGTTTTGGTGGAGGTTGGGAATCCATCGTAAAATATAAAACTAACAAAAATAAAAAGAGCGTAGTGTGTCCCTGGCCTTTGACCGCTTTGGTAGTGCTGCTTTCGTGTGCTCCTCGTAATTTCAGGAATTACAAATTGAAAGTCACATAGCCACAATCGATAAATACAAAATAGCGTAACAATTGTTATGAATAACGTTTATAGCAATTAAATGACGGTATTATTCCTTTATCACCCATATTTATCATGCGTTTTCTCATAATTTTATTTAAAAAAAAAAATCCCGACGGTCATCAAACATAGCACTTGTTTATTGAAAGCCCAGAATAA